TCCTTGTTCCTTCCCTCTGCTCAGTTCCTGCATCTAAGACTTATGGAACAGCCTCTCATTATAATTATAAGCAGTCATTCCTGAATAATAGCCTCTGTGTTCTCCAAAACACAGGTACTAAAATACATAGATTATTTTTACACTACAGATAAGAAAACTCAAATTCCTGACCAAATTACTGAAAATTTTCTACTCTCCTAATCGTGATGATTCTGATAGCAGAGAACTCAAACTATATCTGTACTGAGTTAAATTTTCAAATCTTTAAAATTATATTTTGCTCATTTAAAAAAATACTCTTGACCAAATGGAAACTTTTTAAAAAATAGAATGGAATTGGAAGGAATTATGGGGATATAGATGTTAGCAGAGGGTGTCTCAGGAGGCATTTGGTTCAGTCTGCTTATTGGTTTGCTTTTTTTTCCCCAGATAAACAAATAAAAACTTGGGGAGGCTGAGTGATTTGCCCACAGTCACATGGAGAGTAGCAGAGCTGGTATTTGAACTTCTATCCTTCCACTGCAGAGTCAACCCATTCTTTCCTTTGCACTGCTGCCTCTGAGCCCACTTTTGCGGTTGATTTCAGAGGCCATCTACTTCATCCACTCTTGCTTGAATAATAATCTCCTCTGTATCCTACTCAGCAAGTGGCCATCCAGCCTTTTCTTGAAGACCTGAAGTGAGGAGGGAAACCTTTACCCGTGGAAAGCAGCTCACTCTACTTTTGGATCACTTGAATTTAATAAGTTTTTTTTAATATCAGTTCTAAATTTGCACCATTTCAGCTTTTATTTATTGTACCTTCCTAAGTTCTGTGGTTTTTGGGCCAAACAGTGCATGTCTATTCATTCTTCTAGTTGACAGACCTTCGAAGGTCTTACATCCCCTCTAACTCTCAGACTGCCTACACACACACATCTGATGGAGATGGCTTTGCATTGTTGCCAGCTGTGATGCAGAGCAAAGCTAAAGCAAAACCAAGATGCTAGAGATACCTCTGCCTACTGTTTTCATCTCCACACTCCCTAACTTCTCAAGAGTTTTTCTCATTTTCTTTTAGGTGGAAAATTTAAAATTTTTACTTAAAATTTAAATTTAAAATAAAATTTAAAACTTTTACTTATAAAAAGACCTTTTACTTTTAAATCAGTCATGAGGTATAGTTTTCATCTGGCTGAAATGATTGCTTCAAAACTACAAGTTCTTTTCTTTTGGCCTCATACTCTGAATCAGAACAAAATTAAAAGTATCATCATTGATTATAAAACAGTACATTCACTAATGTAGGCTGTTCCTTATCACAATAGCAGATTAAACAAAATTGAACTCTTGGACAAAAATATATTTAGTTTATTATAACTCACCTAATTATTCCTTAAGCTTTTTATATGAACTTTTAGGACTTCAGTATAAGGTTAATGAGTAATAGATTTTAGTAATATTTTTAAAAAACATCTCAGTTTTAATGCTTTGTTTTCTTTATAGCTTCTGAAATATACAAGGCAGTCTTTGCAGGGCATCTGTATCATGTGTTACTGTACTGTTTATTTTATAAAGAGAAAAAATACATGTATTTTAATTTAATTTTATATATTATATTTTATATATTATATACATGTATGCATATATAATTTATTATTTTATACTGAGGGAAAAATACAGAAAGAAATTTTATTTTATATATTATATACATATATAATTTATTATTTTATACTGAGGGAAAAATACAGAAGGAAAATAGTTCCAGCATGCTGATGACTTATTCAGTCATTCAGTGATGAGAAGACCTGGAAATAATGACTAGGGCAGGGCTGAAGACCCAATTCCTAGCCTGAGTGTGTTAGCATCCTTATTGAGATTAGTGAATAACTTGAAAATAATTAAATTTCCTAGTACTAAAGTTTATTTGTGTCAGTTAGAAGGTAGTAGTTTCTGTTATGCTTTATTGGTTCTGACTTCTGTCACTTATTTTATTATGGGAACTGCATATGGGATGGGGACAATCCAGGTGTTGCCGCAGGACCCTGAATTTTGAAACTCCTGATGGCATTTGCAGTCATGCTGCAGTTCAGCAGCATCTTCAGCACCTAGTTAGCAAAAATAATCAAGTTGAAACCTAATGCAGTTTGTAGCACTTATGGAGGCTTCTTCAGTTACGGCTCTTTGAGTGCTGAAGCAATTATTACTTATAATTATTTCCTCTTACAACTGCTTTGCTAGTGAACCAGGTTTATATGTGCAATAGGATTTCTAGTAGTACATCAATGGTGTTTAAATTGCGGTAGTCCTTCAGCTTCTTTTAGGCTTAAGGGGCTATTTTATGAAGGCTGCTAAAGATCAGTGATGTAGCATATCATTTAGGAGGAGGATAGGCAGGTTGTTGGGTTTGGTTCTGTTACCAGGAGTTGTTTTTCATTATAGAACCTGAATGAAGAAGAGGAAAAACAATTCACAGTTCAGAAGTTTTATGTAGCCATTGCCTTTATTACTTCACACCATCTCACTCATCTTCATTGTCAGAAAACCAGTTTAAGATTGTAATCTTATTTTATCCACATAGAAAATTGAGTGCTGTCCTTTGAGTTTTGGATAAGTTCATAAGCTTTTTTAGTGTGTTTAATGGCTAACTTTTTCAGTTAAGTTACCTTGTGGCTATTAAGGTAGACATACTTAAACTTCATCTGTGTGGTTCACCTAACGAGATGACCCTATTCACTTTAGGGGCTGGTATTCTCTATATGAAAGTGAGTAGTGTCTGATTCTTTCTTATAAATTCTCTTTAATCTTAAATATTATAAACATACTAATTCCTTTGGGCATCTTCACAGATTTCTCCTGCTTGTGATGTGACAATGTGAATGCTTCAGTAGTTGAAGCAATTTTTTCCCCCTCCTATAAAATTACATTCTTTCATCTGTGCAGCCGTTGCAAGTCTGAACAGGACTTCAAAAGCTCATTAAAAAACCAGCAGGCATGATGTGTTGTACTTTTAAATCAAACAAGTGCTTGGTGGCTAGGGGAAACATTCAGGTTCTTTCTGTTTTTATTTCAGTTGGTAGCAGGTAGGTACATTAATACCCTAAGCTTGGAGTCCACTCCTGAATTTCCTTCACTTTATTTCATCTGAGTTTAATAATAATAATGATGATGATGATGATGATGATAGCAGCTAGCATTTATATAATACTGTAGGGTTTGCAAAGTGCTTTCCCAAATATTATCTCATGTGATCCTTACAACAGTTCTGGGAGTTGGAGAGGCTGTGAGGAAACTGAGGCTAAGCTAGGTTAAATGACTTGTCCAGGGTTATGCAGCTAATAAGTGTCAGATGCTGGATTTGAACTTCAGTCTTCATGATATCAAGACCAGCTCTTTGTTCTCTGTGCTAACTAGCTGCCTTATTTATTTTAAACATAGTTTTACAGTAGAGATTTTAGCAATAGGTAAATAGCCTATCAGGTGCAAAAGAATTAGAAGAATAGGATGGGTGAAGTCATTCAGTAGGCAAGGAAATCCATGATAAAGCAGAGTGAGAGGGAGCACTGAGAAAAGAGATTTTTATTATAAGGGATGAAGCTCAGTGCTGAAATGACAGAGTCTCAAGGAAGCTCTCCAGAAGAGTACAAGCTGTCATTATGGAATTCAGAGGTTGTACAACTGGTCCACAAATAAATATGATAAAGACAAAGTACTTAAGAATATTTAAGGAGAGTGGCATTCATTTTACTTAAGTAGGCTCTGAAAAGATTTCTTGCAAGAGGTGGTACCCAATTAGGGCCTTGAACGAAGAGAATTTCAGTAAGTCTAATGGTTGAAGAAGGAGAGGGAGGGAAGAATAAAATGATAGAATAGTAACTAGTTCATTTAACAGGAACATTGAGCACATAATAATGTCAACTCACTTAACACCTTAAAGTTTTAAAAGTGCTTTTCTCTCAACAACCTTGTGAAGGAAGAAGTGTAGGCATATTATCCCCATTATACAGATGAGGAAACTGAGGCTGATAGTGGTAGAATTACTTGCTCACTTATTCATCTAGTATTTCAGTTGACGCTTGAATCCAAGTCTTCCTGCCTTCTTGGTGAGTTCTCTACAAATTATCTGGAGCTGCTTCTCTTTTAATACCTTAAATTAGGCAAATGATACAAATTGCTTATGTTACTAGTACTCAGATCCCTTCTCCTTTGAAAGATTTTATGTTCTTGCATCAAATACTTGGATATTTTTGAACGACTTCTTGTGAAAAACCCGAAACCTAGCCTCAGTGGGTAATATTGAAAAGGGAACAGCAGCCTTTCCCTCTCTCTACCTTTGGAGTACCTTAGGATTCCACTAGAGAAGAACATTCAGAACCTCAGAATAACTCACTCACCAGCTAAAAATCGGGTTGACATGTCTGTGAAGCACTTTGAAAGTTGTGTTACCATGTAGAGACATACCCTAATCAATATTGTTCAAAACCCAGACACTTTGCAGTTATGTTCTTAATAACTGAATCACCATGCCAGCACGGTAAGTCCTGTTCCCAGTTTGCGCAACCTTTGCTTCTTTTGGTTGAGCTTTGATCCCACAGACCTACAGCTTTTCCAGCAAATAGAATCTTGGTATCCTAGGATTTAAACTGGAAGGGATCGTCTAGACCAACTACTTTCTTTTTACAGATGTGTTTTCCTAGAGCACTTTGATGTTCTTTGTCCCTTTCATTCCTCACCTTGTATTATACTTACTTAACTTGTGTACTGGTCATTTCGTGTCTCATCTCTCCAGTAGAATATAAGTTTCTTGCAAGCAAGGAGTTTTATTCTTTTGTTCTTTTGTCTTTCTTCTTCCCTTTCCCCTCATTGTACCAGTCTTTCTCTAAGTTTATAAGGAAAAAAAGTATCAAAATCCTCTTCAGATTTAAGGTGTTAAACTTGACTCCATTCAATTGTATTTGTTTTAGGATTTTTTTGTCAATAAACATTTTATTCTAATTTACCTTTTTTGTTATCCATTTCAGTGTTCTGGGTCATGAAACTTAATCCACAACAAGCTCCGTTATATGTAAGTGAAACAAAACAGTTTTCTTTTAATTTTGTATGATTTATAGAGTTGAGTGCTTTTAATTTCATACAGAGAAACATTTCAATTAGTAATTAATATTTTAAAATAATTATTTTATAGTATATAAAGTTCTTATTGGTCATTAAGTATTTAAATTTGTATTTTTTACCATCTACACAAATAATATGACTCAAATTCAACTAAAATTCAACGGGAATAAATCGGGTACTCCATAAATAGGTCTGCCTTAATATATCTAGGGCCCACTGGAGCTTATCTCTGGGGGTACCAGAAATACATATGTTAAACAATTGAATAACATTGTGAAGGTGCTGTTGGTCTGGTAGTCACGCCCTGTTCTTTTGCTGCTGTATTTCTGTAAAAAAGCAGAATTCCTCCCCACTTGCTTGTTTATGGTTATTGTCAAAGTAAAGTGATATTTCACCACTAGATGGTGTGACAATATTGGTAAGAGTTGGGCAGAAGCTAACAAGGTCAAGACAGGGAAAGCTAAAATGTATATTTTTCTTTTTTTTTTGCTATTAGATTAGTGAAATTCAAGGTGGTGAGAGTGAGTGCTATCACTGGTGAAATATAAGATTGAGTTGCACAGGCATTCCCCATGAAGGGTGAGCCAAGGGGAATTTGAAGTGAGTCAAAAATGCTCTCAGGGAGGATTTAGATGAGAAAAGGAGGAAGAACATTCCAGGCAAAAGGAACAACATTGCAAAGTGAATAAGCGTAGTAGGAATATGGAACATGGCAAGGATGTGTTTTGTCTGGAATGAAAGCTTTATGGTAAGGAAACATAGATGTTAAGAATGGATAAGGATGAGTTATGTGTTGACACATTTTAAATTCAAGGCAGAGAAATCTGGGCTAATTGTATAGGTAGTGGGAAGTTATTGAAGATTTTCACTTGATGAATTACTTAATGAAAATGATGTTTTTAGCAATGTAAAAGGTGATTTAGAGAGAGTGACTAGAATCAGGAGCCAGTTAGGAAACTACTGGAATAGTCCAGATGTTATGGATTCATAGAATTTTAGGATTAGAAGAGTCCTTAGAGATCATGTAGAGTGGTCATCTTATACTACAAACAAGGAAATTGAAGCCTGAGAACACTTTGCCAATATCTTATAACTAATTAACAGTAGAGTTCCAACTCATTGATTGCTAGTCATGAAATTACATTTAATGTGTTTAAAAGCTTTAGTAAATTTTCTTCTTAAACGTTTTGTTCTGGTTGAGATACAATTACATTAGAAATTGGTTCTGAAGAGCTCTTTAAGTAAAGCGTTATATATGAGTTGGTTGCTGAGGGGCAAAATATCTACTGGAAAGGTTGGTTTAGAAAATATCTCCTTTCTGATTGGACAGAGACATCTATTTGACCAAAAACTTTAACTTTTGCTGCATATGTGGGGGGGGGGAGAGGAAGCAAAATTGTAGGAAAGATAGAAATTTTCTGTAAAATAGGAGCTATTACTGTAATTATTTAAGAATAGAGAGGGAATATTCTCATTACAGGAGGAAAGCTTCTGGCAGATGAAATAGAGACCTAGGAGACATGTTTGGTGGGAGTTTTTGAAAGTTGGAGCCACAAACTTAAACATAAACTGATGATAATGTTATGTGATAAAGGACCATGTTGATGGAAAGGACCACAGTAGTCACATGTAGCAATTGAAATGAAAGATGGAAGGTGTGGATCCAAAGGCAAGAGACTTTTTGTTTTCTTTTGTAAAAAGCTTATGAAAATATTGGTGAAAGAAAACCTTTTTATTTACCTGCATGGGGCCCTGAAATAGCTGAATTTCAATGTGTACCTAATGAGAAATGGTTAGATTTTGTCTGGAAGTTTGTCTTAAAAATTGGACTTTTTGTTTGAGCTAGATGAGGAGAGAGTTTGCCACAACTACCATGCATTTTTCACTGCAGAGGTTTTGTAAAACACAACCATCAATACAACTACAGTATGGGAAGCAACATTTTTGGCTCAGACAATAAAATTTAAGAAAAGAGATCAGTTGCTGTTTGGGTGTCTCGGCTCTGAACTTTTTTTTAAATTCAGTTTTATTTTCTGTTCTGAATTCTTTCCCTCTTACTTTTCCCTTGACTCTTATTGAGAAAGCATGAAAAACAAAACCCATTACAAATATGTATAGTCAAGCAGAACAAATTCTCTCATTAACCATATCCAAAAGAGAAAAAAAAGCCTAAATCTGCCCTCTGAGTCCATTACTTCTCTCTGGAAGTAGGAAGTGTGTTTCATCATAAATTTTTTGAAATTGTGGTTTTCCATTATGTGCTCAGAGTTCCTAAGGCTTTCATAGTTGTTTGTCTTTACAGTATTATTATCATTGTATAAATTGTCCTCCTGGTTCTGCTTATTTCACCTTACATCTGCTCATGCAAGTCTTCCCAGGTTTCTCTGAAAGCATCCCCTTCATCATTTGTTATAGTGCAATAGTATTCTATCACATTCATATATCATAATTTTTCAGTCATTTCCCAATTCTTTTCTACCACCAAAGGAACTGCTAAAAATATTTTGTATGTATGGGTCCTTTCCCTCTTTCTTTGATGTCTTTGGGGCATAGACCTATCAGTAGTATCACTGAGTGAGAGTATTCGCAGTTAAATAGCTTTTTGGGCATAGTTCCAGTTTGCTTTCCAAAATTGCTGAATCAGTTCACAATTCCAGTACATTAATGTACCTGATTTCCTAGCAGGTGTCATTCTAATTTTTTTGTTGCCTTTGCATATCTGATGGGTATAAGTTGGCACCTCAGAGTTGTTTTAATTTGTATTTGTTTAATTATTTAGAGCATATGATTGTTGACAGGTTGGATTTCTTCCTCTGAAACCTTCCTATTCATTTCCTTGACCTTTTGTTATTTGGAGAATAGCTCTTAACCTTATAAATTTGACTCAGTTCTCTGTGTCATAGTCATTTTAAAGGAGGAATAAGTAGGACTTAATGATGGATCACATATAAGGAGTGGTAGAAAAGGACATATCAAAGATGATAACATCCCAGCCACTTCTACAGTGCCTGATTTCCACTCTAACCATCACCTTGCCTCAGACCCTTGAACTTCTTCCCTTGAACTTTGGTCTCTGATAGGTGAACTTTCACCTTACACTGCCTGGATCAGGCCCCCAGGACATTTCCTCATCATTTACATACTTTACTCTCTCCTCCCCTCCCCCTGTTCTTGCTTCTCCTTATTTGTTGTCTTCACCCCTTAGAATGTAAGCTCCTCAAAGTCAGGGACTGTTTTGCTTGCTTATATTTGTGTCCTTAGTGCCTGGCACAGTATCTGGAGTATAGTAAGTGCCTAATAAATTAGGCTGTCTGTCTGTCTGTCTGTCTATCTATCTGTCTGTCTATCTATCTATCTATCTATCTATCTATCTATCTATCTATCTATCTATCTATCTATCTATCTATCTCTTTAGGAGATGGGAAACATCTGAGGCAGGGAGCGTGGAGATGGGAAGACAAAGGAAAAGACAAAGTCAGTATTTGCTCTCCAAATAGAAAAGCAGTTGATGATTGGCCTGAAAAGAACTCAGCAAACTCAGCAAGTGATAGAGCTGCATATGAAATGTCGGGAGAGGCATACAATGCCAGATTACCTTGAGCCCAAGTCCGGAGGAGGGTATCCAGGATGGTCTTGTGAGAGGCCCCAGTTTTAGGTATCACTAGGTTGAGCTTTTGACAGTTTAAAAGGTGAGACTCCTGGGTTGGTGGTCATTTAGTCACTGAGTTGGATCTGGGCCACTCAGGGATTTCGAAGAGGACTGAATGTCTTATAGGAAGGGTTAGAATCTCATTTAGCTGGGACTGGTTGGTCTTCTACCTGCTGTGCCTCAGGAAAGGGGGTGCCAATCAGAGAGGTTGAATCAGAGATGATTGTTTCTCGTCTGCTCGGTTTCAGAAACGGGAGGGATGGTGCCAGGTAGGAGAAAGTTTGAAAATGTTTAGGGCAGACAGAGACTGTCTGAGAAAGACTAGGCCAGGAAAACCTGTTTTCCCAGACTGTAACAGTTGCAGAAATAGGAGGGATTTCAGAAGGAGATGCTGAATATGGTTTAGAGAGGTTAACTTGCAGGTGATGATGTAATGTTTTTAAGAAATTATTTTTGTTACCTTTTGTTCTCATATGTCCTTCATTTCACAATGTATACCTCTACTCAGAGAGCCATCCTTGTAATACTATAAAAAGGAAAGAAGTTTAAAAAAAAGCAATTCAGCAAAACTAACCAGTATGTTAATGAATATGTGACAGCATATGAAGGGTTCTACCGATGGTGTTAAATTCAAAGGGAAATGTTTAATGTGTATTTGAGTGTAAGGCCTTGGGCTTAGGGAAGAGGACAGAGCTTTAGGAGTCAAAGAGATCTTTGGGTGTCATCTGCATGTGAAGCTGTAAGCCAGGATGAGTTCTCTGAGAGGAAAGATATAGAAAGAAAAGGACAAAGGGGAAAAAATGTTAGTAGGAAGAATCAGGGAAAAACACAAAGGAGAAGTGGTTGAGGACATTGAAGGAGAAATAGGAAAAGATTCTGGTGTTTGATATATATGTATGTGTTTTCCTGGGAGAGTTTTTTGTTTTTGTTTTTTTCTTTGTGATGAACTTGTGTATTCTTTGAAATAAAAGTAGCAGCTAATTTTTCTGTAGTCATGTTAATTTGTTGTGTTTGTATGTTGGGAATGGCCACTGGAGAAAAAATGTGGAGTTATCTTTACTCTGAGACCTTCCTGCTCCTTGACTTGCTTAGAGTAGATCTGATTCCTTACATTGTTAATGATATCTTCCTATGGACCTTTGAGCTAGAGATCATCTGGCTTCAAAGGGTGAGAACCAGAACTGTTTTTTGTTTGTTTTTTTTTAGATGCAGGTATGTTGGACTATCTATTGCATGGGAGAAAAAAATAGTCCCTTTCAGTTGCCCTTTCAACCTAAAATAGGATGAAACTTGAAACTGCT